ATTAATGAAATGTGTCAAGATAACTTGAGCATAAAAATTCAGCTCTATCTGTCTACCTGCCTACCGTTTTATTTACAGAAAGTGATGATTTACTCACCCACTTATAGCAGTGATTAATTAGTATTCAGTTTTAAATACCTTAGAGACTAAATTAAGGGTATTGCTGAAACAGGTGGTAGGATATGTTTTCAGATGTGATGTTATTAAGTCTCAAAGACGAAGAAAGTGGCTGAATTAAGCAGACTACTTTTGTATTGGAGAAAATATAGATTTAACACAGCGACAGTTTTCATAAAGAGCAGAGTATCTGAGGATCTATTATCCGTGTACCCAGACCGCGATCCACAAAAGATTGAATTGTTAATAGAGCGCACTCGGCAGGAATTGACTTAAGCCCTCTCTTGGAATAAGATACAGTGTACTGAAGAGCGAGCTAAGTAATTGCTGAGTAAAGTTGTGTTTAGAGAACAAGAATATTCATCTTATAAGTAAAGTTCAGAATGCAGGGTCCGGTATAAAAATGGCAAGGACCCAACACAACCAGGAACAAAGTCTCAAATTCGAACACCTTTTAATCAATCATTATATGTCATAGACCCTAAAGAAGTTGGAGTGAAGAGTTTGCTTTAGTCAGTACGAGGAAAAATTGGTTGACGTGGGATACAAATTTCACAAAATTCACTTCAATAGGATCTTACTTTATGGCAAGTAAGAACTACGATATTGATACCTACATACGTTTTCCTCGTTCGACTACTGTTAGCATATCCAGTGGCAGGTCGAATCTACAGCTTTTAATTAACAAAGAAAGAACTTTTCTTAAAAAATTTAGAAATTGCGACAGATATTTATTTACATAGGATAAGAAATTACTGACAAATGTTATATAGTAAAAATTATTGGGTCAAAAAGAAATAATCGTGCCTTTAATTATGCTTGATTTTCCAATCAATGCTTTGTAATTCTCAGTAGCCCTTATCGCAAACGCGGCAAATCGTACTTAATTAGGTTGTTTGTAACTAAGTTAACCACAAAGATAATTAACACGACTGCGCAACTGAACCACCTTGATAAGATGACAGGACTGCTATTGACCGTTCGTTTGCAAACACATTAATGCCCTAATGCGGCCGACTGATTCGATGTTTTGTTAGTATGTACCGAGTGTTATTTTAATAACCGTGCATTTCCATAAGAGCGCAACAATATTTTTGACTCGCAGTTTAGTTGCTCTCTGGAACATTAATAACAGTGTTTAAATCAGATACAGTATATGGAGCCAGAAGTCCTTCAATGCGGTAAGCGCCAGATTTTTTTTTCATTCGGTGCCATTCTGGGAACAATTCTAGTTATTTTTGTGTCGCCAATCTTGCTCAACGTATTTTATAAACTATTTTAATGTCGTTTGATATTTGTTTGACCATTTGCTACGTGGTCAATACTGACATTTCGAACTTTCATGGTCTCAAAACGTTCTAAACACGACATTTCGGCTAGAAAATAGAGTGGGGACGTCGGGGAAAAAGTTCGAAACGCCAGTATTGAACAGAATCAATCTTTGTCTACCTTTAGAGTAATTGGCTATGTACACAAAATATTTACCTATGAAATTGCTATACGACTTGCGAGATTAATATTTTACAATAACGGAAAGTGTGTTTAATTTGCTTCAGCGGCGTCCATATGCCATCATAAAAATTCTTCCCGCAAATATCCATCATTTAAAAAAAGGATTCCAAGTTTTAACTACTAAATTTCAAAATCGGAAACACCTTTTTTAGAATTAGAGGATCATGCAATGACGAAATATTTTTGGAGGTGGCCTGAAATAGGAAACCTGGTCTGACTATGACTATACAAAATATCTGCATACATTTGGGATATTGCTTTTGGGAAGTTGCTTTAAGCTTAATTGAAAATCTTATCGCTTACCGTAATGATGATAGACGCTGGCGTCCTTCGGCGCTAATCTTTGCGCCTTCCTGAACCATTGTTCGGCCTCCGATGCTCTGCTTACCTGGAATAAATTAAACGGGCGTATTTTAGAGCGTTTCGTATATTCTTTATCGTTCCGTTACAGGAATCTTCCCTTAATTATGCACGGTTTGATTTAATAAAACGGTAATCAACTCGAATTAAAATTTCAATTCAAACAATTGGAACATTAATGACGTTTCCGTATAGCAGGGTTGCCGGACGCAGCGCACAATATTTTTGGAAATTTCACTATTTCTAAAACACGATGAAACAAGCAAAGACAAAGAGCTATGATGTGCCCAATTAGATCAATAAATATTACTAAATACCAGTTAAATTACCACTAATTACCACCGCCGTAAGCATTGCAATGATTTTGCTTCTATTAAATAAATAACGAGACTTAAGTAATAACCCAATAAGGTAAATAACATCAACAAGGGGAACAATAATACTATAGTTCAATTATACTAAAAATAACTGCAATTGAAACAAAACATTTTTTTTTGCAATATATTGTTAAATAAACAAAAAATTCATAAAATTATAAATTCTAGATGATATTCAGGATAGGACACAATGTGTATTTTAAAATATCCATCCACATATGCCAAAACTATTTCTAATTCAAAATCATTTTTCAGTTTTAATAATATAGTTAAAAAAAACAAGCAGATTTTAGGTAGGTTCATGAGTGGGACAGTTGAAGGACATGCGGTAGAACACAAAGTAACTAACAATAGAAATATAACTTCTTAAAATATATTTATTTATTATTAGATAAACACATCACAAATTGGGTAATAAATGTTTAAGTTCCTATAAGGAACCTTTCAGAACTTTATTGTTTTAAATTGAGTCTAACCAGACCTTTTGTACTCAATTAAAGGGTCCATACAAAAAATACTATTTATTTACTTTAGCCATGTAACTGCTTTCATCCTATAGTACAGATAGTTTGGCATTCCTACAGAACCTAAGATGCGGAAAATTCTCGAAGTATCCTCAAAATTAGACGTGTTTTGAACGACTTATACCGCCAAATTTCCATTAACTACCTTCGAAATGTACTTAATATTACCACTAGAATTCCACTACTGACCACTGATTACAACCATACTTCCGCTAATTATCAATTACAACACACTTTCCTTAAAATTGTGTAATTGTGTAATGAATGCGTAACCCTCCTAATCTTGGAATTATAGTGTAAAGTGTAATTGTATTTTGAATATTTAAACGTGTATTCAAAATACTCGAAAAAGATCGCTTGGTTTCTTTCAGCACGTCCTTAATGTATTACTTAATCCAAAAGTTCTGAAACATTTTATAAACAGCCGGGAGGAAGCTAGTATTTACTAAAAAGTTCATTTGAGTTGAAACGACCAGTTTGTACCCAATTCAGCGATTCATAGGAGTTACTTGAGCCATGGCACCTTTTTGCCATTAAACCTACCGCACTGCTACCACACTTCCTATGTGATACCACCAAATTTTCCATTAATTACCTTAAATTTACTTAACACTATAATTCCACTAATGACCGCTGATTATCACTATACTTCCGCTAATTTTCACTAATTATCACTGGCTTTTCTCTAGATTGCCACCAATTATTACCACGACTGTGTACGACAATTACTTATAATTATAAAGGCATTATTATTTGTTATATTTAAATTACCCAGAAAATTCTTAATGTATAACTTAATCCAAAAGTTTTGAAACTTGGAAGTTGTTTTTATAAAGAGTCGGAAGAATGCAAATATTAACTAAAGACTCTATTTTTAATCGTTCCAGGAAAAAAGATAGTTCGCCAAGTCTCGCAAATCTCGAAGGAGAGCCGTTCCTTCTCTTCTTTTTATTCCTCCTTAAGGAATTATACTGTGATAGTGCGTCACTCTAAACGGATTTCTTTCGTTCATGAATATTCAATGCGCGAACCGAGAGAGACCGGCAAGCACGGGGGGACGCGGGCGCACATCCCCGGGCATTTAGTAAAATTTTATAAGCTTAATATTCATTAAATGGTAAATAAGCAAATTTGAAATTTCCATGCAAATATCGGACTACGCTTCTTAACTTAATTTTATCTAATCGCACGTCAACTTCCTGCACTGGTCGAAACTGACCTTTGGTATTTAAAATTTTTCAAAATTTTGTGAAGTTGTATAGTTATTTAATATCACACAGCTTCTTACGTCGATACGAATGCACATATTTAGAAACGGGAACATTGATACAAATAACCTTAGTCATCAATCAGAACAAGAGTACAACACACAAGACTAACTGTATTAAGAAAAAATTGTTTTGCATATATGAAAATTATTTCGAAGGCAACGAAAGCAACTCATATTGAATTAACAACCTGTTTTATTACATTTATTTTATTACTTTGTTATTATAATCTTATTATTATATTACAATATAATATTAAATTTATTTATTAGTTTAACTTAACATATAATTAAGCTGTAATCATTGCCATATCTGGGAATTTCAAATTATTCAATGATATGACATTCGCTAGTGGTCAATTATAAAGTTTTACTATCGTGGATCGCTTTTTCTGTTAATGTTCATATAGGACGTGTCCCATATTTCCTACTAAATTTTGATTGTTATTGTAGTAAGAATGTTTTAACAAATTAAATACATAATAAAATGTGTGTTAGCAAATCCTTCAGAGGTCTGGAAAAGCTGCGGAGAGTGATTGAGGAGAGGAAGGTCACGTGGTGTCCCGGGTCACACCGGTATCCGGGGAATGAGGCAGCGGACGCCTTAGCCAGTGAGGGCTGCTCGCATAGGCATATAGGGCCAGAGCCCCGCTTGGGGATCGCCTCGTGTATGAAGCGGGGAGCTCTCGAAGCCTGGGCGAGGGACCGGGCTGCGGGGGGCTGGATAGTTTCTCCGGGAATGAGGCAGGCGAGGCTTATGATGGATGGGCCCTCCCTCCCTCGAACCAGGGAGCTGCCTTAGACTGACCAGAAGGGAGTGTAGAGCACTAACAGGACACAGGACACAGGACATTGCAGGCTTAGGAGGCATCTTTGCTTGCTAGGCATTGTAGACGACCCGGAGTGTAGGTGGTGCATGGAAGGGGAGGAGACCCCGTATCATCTGCACACCGAGTGCCCTGCCTTGACATGGGCAAGATTGGGAGTCTTCGGAACGGCCCTGATCGATCCGGACTCAGTGCACAATATTCGGCTAAAGGAGTTGCTGACCTTCTATAGGCATTCTGGACGCCCTCTAGAGCGGCCTGGGAACACAACGGGCCCATCTGGTGGCCTAAGTGCTTGGACGCCCGCGAGGGCGCCCCCCTTTAATACCAATACCAATACCAAAGCTGCGATGCACACAGGAAGTTATTCATATTTTGAATATTATAAGATGGCATTAAAACAGTCGGTTGTTTGTCGTATTCTTACATTACTTTAATAGGTTTTTCTATGAATTTGATTTATTTTAACGGTGTCCGATATGCAAAAGGGATAGGTTTTAAGGATAGTATGCAACACGTTTGATAATCTTTTCAAGTCTGCTCGTGACTCAAATGCCGTTTACTACACTTGTTGGATATCATTTCATTTTGTAATGTAAAACTACAAACTTACAATGGGGGTTCACTAAATATATAAGCAAATGTGAAGCTGTAAAAAATATTGCGTTACGAGGCATTACAATATTGATGTATAACATTACTAATGAAATCTAAATTAATCAGCGATTTATGGGTTGATTTAACAAAACAATTTTTCTACACTCAAAAAATTGCAGGAATAATTAATTTTCAAATTTAGCTCCGAATTATTAGAAGTGTTTTGGTTTAATAAAACGTTTTTGCATTGCAAATATATAATTGGAAAAGTGAGAAAGATTGATTATTAATGTTATTATGTTATTATAAAATTAAAAAAATAGAGGTCATTATAGAATAGATTGATTCGCCTCTACCTGTAAACCCATTGTGTTTAATTTGGGACTGTGAATCGAATGAGGGTTTTGTTTGGAGTTCCGACTGCCATTTGCCACTCAGATAATGAATTGTGTATATCAAAGTTACGTATACGGGAGAGCTAAATGGAAGCCGTATTAAGTTCGGTTACTCCTTTGTTTCGCAACTAGGGGTATGTATTGTTAATTTTAGATATTACTTAAGGATCGCTTTGAATAATTTTCGGCTTCAATAAATTCGAGCACTTCAAAGATGCCTCAGATTTAGACGGGTCTATGAAATTAACTTACTCTCCTGTTTTGGGGGCTCCAAATAAGAAAAAGTTTCACCTTAGACATTCTTTCAATTAGCGAGGGGGTGTGGAATGGGTATTTGATAACAATTCACTGAGACCAATTATGTATCCCGTTCTCAAATTATCCTCAAGGGTGGTATAGTTTAAATATTTTTAAAAGAGAAGTGTAGAAATACTGTTAAGCTGCAATTCAAAATTAAAAAGTTGGAGTCTAAACAGAATTTTACGTACATCTTAGTTTAAATTCGAATTCGGCTGTTTGTTTGTTTATACTCGCTGTACGATTTTAACGAGATAACTGTCGACAAAGGTTTTTGTGGAACTTATAAATGATGTAATTCTGCGGAGGTTTAGAGAACGTCGTTATCATCTAGTAAAATAGAATAGGAAACATTTTTTTTATTGTTATATTATTGACACTGTTGCCCCAGCAATGTCTTCGAGAAGCAGAAGGTTGAATTTTTTAGTTCTTAATGCATTCCTATTGTATTAATTGGGTAACATTTATAGTAGGAAGTATTATACCCATCGATTGAGATTTTTCTGGTTTTGACAAATCAGTAGAGTCATTAATAAAGTAGCCCGAGCATTTGCAAGGATGCATGAAGTTCATACTTTATTATGCAAGGAATAGATTCCCATTGTTTAACACAAGCATATTTCCAAGATGTATTCGGGCTTAAGATTGAACCCATCTGAGAATTCAATCTTTTGGGGAAAAGACTGGTAAAATTTGAGAAATGGAAAAGCATATTTTTCTTTTAATAGTAAAAATTTCTTTAATTAATGACTCGGTTAAAAATTTAAGAGTTTCGTAAAAACCTGCTGCTGGATGATAGTGGTTATGGTATCAAGCCTTACCTGATTATAAGACAAAGTCTTGTGAAACTGAAGTTCGATTTAATTAAGATCAGAATTATTTTACGCAACCTACCCTTGGAATAGCTATTGCGATGGCTAAATGTTCTAAAGTTCTAAACAAAGATATCCAATAAGAGGGAACCCAACGCTCATAAGATGCGTTTCAGATCACTGATTTGACATTTTCTTTATGAGCATTTAAACAAAAAAGCCCAATTTGGTGTGAACAAAAAAAGAATAACATAAAATAAACATTTCTAACAAAAATCATGTAGATATTAAAATAAAAAAGTGAGATTGCCTCCTTCACTTCATTAACTATGCTGAGTTTCACAATTTGGAGTTCCACGATTTTTCAAATTTTATAAAAATCAATAAGCTTTTTATAAAACTTCTGGATTCCTCCTGCGTTGGTTTTTGTAGAGTCGAACTAGCTAACATTTCGCCAATCATTCTGTTGACTTCTTCAGTAACTAACCAAAACTAGCCAAACCTTGTCACCTTAATTGAAAAATGCTTGTCTGTAACATATTTTTCTTCTAACGGCCAAATTTTTGAACAAACGTCGGGAATAGCTATGGGTTCTAGACTATCACGAGACATCGCCAATATATTTATGGAAGCCGTTGAGAAGAAGGCTCTCGACACCTTCCATCAAAAACCAAAATTATGTCGATGATACTTTTCTTACTTAGCCTCATGGTCAGGAATCCCTTGTAGATTTTCTTAGACATTTAAACTCTATACATCCTAACATACGTTTTACCACTGAAATACAAACTAATAATAAACCTCCCATTCTTAGATATACTTATCAATAGAAAATCAGACCTAACATTGGGTCACTGTGTTTACAGAAAACTACGCACACAGACCGATACCTTAATACATTGTCCCATCACCATCCGGCCCAAAAATCATCGGTTATCAACTCCCTTGTTTACAGAGCCGTAGAATTATCTCAGCTCGAGTCATTGAACCCACAATTAAAACAACCTCTGCTCTTCTCTCCAATAATTTCTACATTAAAGATATTAAGCGTTCCATTACAAAATACACTTCACCACAATCTTCCAATAGCAAAGTAATCTAACACTGTCGTCCTTCCCTATATTCAAAACATATCACAAGTTCTAAAGAAATATAACGTCAAAACCAGATTTACCACTTGGGCAGAAATATTTCAACATCTTCGATCCGTCAAAGACAAAATTCCACTTGAGATGCCAGAAGTTTATAGCATTCCATGCATATGCAGCAAAGAATACATTGGAGAGGCAGGAGGAAAAATATCAACTAGGCTCAAAAAACACGAAAGAGCCTTGAGACTAAGACACATAAACTCAGCAGTTGCCGAACACAATCACGAAACCGGACATAAAGTTTTATTCGATGAAACTACAATTCTTGCATGTGATCCATTCTTCTACAATCGAAAAATCCAACAATTCTAACAGCGACCACAGGTCTCTACCTGCCACAATATGCCCCTCATTTAGCTCCGCCCCCTCAAACAATATAAAAGCAGGTACAGAGTAAAATACGAACCAGTTTTAGTCAAGCTCTGAAGAAACCAACAGAGTGATTGGCGAAAGGTTAGCTAGTTTGACTCAACAAAAACCGACGCAGGAGGAATCCAGAAGTTTTGTAAAAAATATTACAGCAGCCTGTGGAAGTTCCTTTGAAAAATTAATTTAAATTAATTATTAACCAAAATAATCCATTATCGCATTTGTCAAGTAAAAAGCCCGAACTTCGCATAATACTGAATTTTGAAATGGGGAGTTTTCTCCCCAGCGGTTGCGGAAATACTTCAAAAAATCATCCAGACTGTTCAACACGTGAATAGGCTTGCCCCGTATAAGTAGTCAGATATGGATATTCGAATTGTAACAAGAAACAGTATGAACCTGAACAAAATTGTGTTTGGTTCGATAATGTGGAAATATAGATAGAAATACATAGACAGAAGGCCGTGTAATGGTAACAGCAGTGCACTAGATAAGAAGAAAAAACAAATACAGTTTAGGAGCGTGTTCTGAACACAATTATTCATTCTCATATTTTATAGAATCTATGGAAAGAAAATATCAGTAAATATATGCTCGTCGAAAATTAATAACACATGAAAATTTGGAAGGACTCGATCCAAGCACTGATAATGCAATGTTTTCTGGGAACACCCGTACTGTGGTTTAGAATTATAAGGAAAAATAATTTTAGATGAATTTTCAGCTGCGTCCAAATGGGTGAACGAGACAGAGAATCAAATCAAATAACTTCTTGCTGCACAAACACGAACAAGTCACCAATGAAAATTGCCAGTAGTATAATATAGAATTAGAAAGATTAACGCGAAGTAATAAACAATTGTTACTAATTCGAAAAATATCTTAAGATAACGCGATAAACGCCGCCTCCTTGCGTGATCATCCTATTATAGACCGGAAATAGATGGGACGTCTTAATTTAGGTCGCCCGGATCGATCTATCCGGAACTCTTATGATGTAGTATTTTCTCCATTCCGATAGCTCAATCAATCCTCATATAAGTAACAATAAGGATGATTTATCACGTGGAGCGATCAGGTTGCAAAAAGAGCAGAGTCTCTATATTTTTCACGAGGGAAATGGGAAAATTATGGTAAACAAAAACGGACAGATCGAACGTCATTCTTTTCAGTTATTGTTTGTTTCATTATCTCGAACTAGGATGGACTGCACCAATATTCGTTGCTTTTTTCTGTATACCATATATGACTTACGTTTTTGGCAAGCAATTTTCCGTAAGTAATATGAGCGGGCACGTGATCCGGTTGAGCGTCCAGGGCCGCCCGGTACCACCTTTCAGCTTCCTCGTCCTGTTGCATTCTTGCCAACGTCTCCCCCAGTATATTGAAGACTGTCTGGAATAAAATTGCGGAGATTTCTATTAAACGTTGAAATTATTTTAATTCACTATAAAAATAAAACAACTTATACTTCATATTAATGAATTTTTTTTGAATTTTGATGGATGTGGGCAGAGTCGTTACAGCTATTGATTTGGGCTTCGATTGATTGCCTTTATTTTTAATTAGATCTTGGCATATATCTTCAGCCGTTATCAAGGAAATAATGAAACTACGAGCTTATGAATTTCATACCAAACAATAAACCATCTTTCAAGAACGAGAATAAAGAACATTTTATAAACCAAAAAAATAAAATTGCTAATAAAAATTTAAACACAAGTTTAGTTTTAAGCCATTTTAATTCAAATATATATAATTTTTTAATATAATTTTATCTAGTTTTATCAGCAGAGGTTACGAATTGATAGTACCACGGAAGACAGATAGAATGTATAACCAAATTTCTTTTGTACTTTAAAATTTAATAAACGTAAATTTGAATATAGCTTTTTTTTTTATAAAAATTAGAAACCATCCTTCGGCACACCTAAACTTTTTAAGACCTTAATTTTCAAATTGAATTTTAATTTGATGGCACAAAAATTTTGTAACAAGGGGAAGCAAATAGGATAAATTGTGTTTTCTAAAAATGTAGCTTAACGTTGCGTTTTTTTCTTATAATCAGAAAGGATTTCAGCAATTAGTTCTAATCATAGACTAAATATTCAAGGTGACACCAATTGTTTACGCTGGAAGGCGCCCAAACATTATCAGGGTCTATAATTGTTCCACAATCTCTGCGGGAAACTTCAAAACTCTGTTGTCACATTTGTATTGATATAACGAGCTAGAATTTTATAGGTAACATATAAATTATATAAATCAAAACATTCTTTTTACTGAATTTACTAGTATTAGTCCAGTGTTGATTCGAAATTCAAAGAACTAGTGCGGTTTGCAATTATCAGAAATAAAATATTTGCAAAATGTGATTACACAGTTCAATATTTTCAATAGTTTGGAGTTTAGACGTTAATTCTATACTCAATATTGTGAACTAAGTCGCGCTGCCCGGGAGCAAGCGAAAGACAAGTATGTTTTTCTAAAATATTCGTTGTGACTTTTTTTTTGGGTGAATTAATTAACAACAGGGTGCGACAATGCCAAGTGTGCAAAAAAATAGACGCTTTGACTGTTCACAAGTAAGTTTTAGATATATGTAATAGATCCATTGTGATAACTTTAGATTACAGTGAGGTAAAAACACCCCTTTTTTAACTGCAACGGAAAATGTTTTTAGTTGTTTTAGATTTCCAGCCAATAATAAGAGAAACAATTAATGGTTTTCCCTTCTTGATTGCGGTAAAAATCATTGCCTGCCAAAGCTAAATATCTCAATATGCCAATCCATTACCTCACCATGTTGCATCAGAGATGAGCAAATCGACCAGTAGGCAAGTGGTATTTATTAATATACTTGGATATAAACATAGTCTTTATAATTAAGGATCTTGTCACAGGCTAATAATTTCTATACTTTACAGCTCACAGTCAAAAATTTGTGGACGTCCTATCAGAGATAATCGGTGAGTTTTTAACATTTGTTTTTAAAAAAAACAAAACTCATGTAAATTCAACAAAATATTATTATAAATTTTTAGGCATCAAGAAATAAACTCTGATGAAATCGTTGTTTCGCCAGTGGAAACTGGCGAAGTTCACAATCCAGCAACTGCAAGGTAATGAAAAATTAAGTTTGCTGAGAAATTCTTATAAATAACATATTTCAGGTTTCTGAGCAGCAAATATCTAGAGGAGATAGATATATTTTAACTGGATAAAACCTCAATTTCCTGAAGTTCATAAACTGTGACTCTAGAAGCTGAGAAGGAATAAACTAGCAATAATGGTTCTAAACATCATATTTACAAAAAAGAATGCCTATGTAGGTGATAGGTGATAACCCATGAAAAACGCAGTTTATGTTTGACAGTACCTAAAAAATTCATAGAGATAGTGCAATTTTAATTAAATTATCACTATTATTAGAAACTGATATATCTGCACCTTTACTTCAAAAGCAGAAAACTTATAGCAAACTCGTAAAACCTTGTCAATCTGAGACATGTAACATACTTATAATATTTTCATAAAACCACAAATATTTGTCATAAAAAAGTCAACAGCTTCCTATCAATTTTCATGTACACAACCGTTAGACATTTGCCCGCAGGTTTATTTAATTATTTTGGAGATAATTTTAAATATTGAGTGAAATTAATATTATTGAATTATTTAAAAAAAAATACCAAAAGTAGTTTGTTCAGAAGTAAGTAAACTTGTGATTACGTGAAGCTGGTAAACAATGATTCAGAATAAATATTAAGAGATTGTAGAACTTCCATGGTGTTTATTTTGTGTTTACACAACATTTTGAGCAGATATATCACTACTTGTTATCAAGTGCAGTCTGCAGCAAGAGAATGTCGAACTTCCATTGTCATTATTATTGTTTATACAACAAATACAACTTGAATTTGTTATGAAGTTGAATTGTTTAGTAATTACAATATGTAGTTTGCCAAAATAGTTGTATTTATATGGGTGGTGGGTCTCTCTAAAGAAGTGATTGGTGGAGTGTATCTTACATTGTGTTCTATTTAAAATAGGAAAGTTCTAACTGTTTTTTTGAAATTTTTTTGTAGTTTCTGAAATAACAGTAACAGTAAATTCACACCGCATCCGTTCAACTTTTAATTCACTAAAACAACGTTGACTTCGCGCACAGGCAGCGAAGTTCGTCGAAATCGATGGCTCCACGAAATCCCAACCCCAAATGGTAATTGTCGATAAGGCCCCGTTTCATTTCGAATAACATTTCGAAACTTTTTTTTCCGCTGACAACAACGTCGACGGAATAAGCGCCGAAATCAAACACAACGAAATAATTCCCGATTTATTAGTTCCATTGTTTCGATCTGCGCCATCCGGATTTTTTTTCCCGTTTCTCTAATCCAATTTGCACTTAACATTTCAATTGCGTCTCTATCACTGTCCGATGAAAATTTCAACTCCATTGTTCCGAGATTAAAACGACGGCTGGCTCGCAATCCGGAACACGCCAGGATGTGTATGACAAATTGAGGGCTCTAGTCGATCATACGTCCACCGGAGACCGGCGATTGAAGGACGTCCGTTGGACGTTGGATCCTGGACATTTGTCTCGAGTCGACAGCTTACGTGGGTATTTGCTGCTGGAATCGTTAACGAACAACTTAGGAGAAAGCTTTCAGACCGATTCTGTTTCCACATTAAAAATTTAAATGCCATAATTTGGATATGCTACGCCCAAACATCGAATCACTCAGTGAGCGAGAAAGGCGGCCAAAACATGTTGCGGGGACTGCGGAACGACCAAATAAAAAATTTGTATAAAGGGCGTTTTCTAATTGAATCTCAATAATTAACGGTACGCTACTGATTTGTCTTAAAGTAAAATTTATTCTTATAATCTCCAATCGTTTCTAGAAAAAAATAATCTCTTGATATTTTCATTGCGATGTACGGCTTATGTTTAAAAAAATAGAAACATTTTCTCTGCATGGTCATAACAATATCGCATTTTTGAAATCTTTATAATTGCTTTTTATCATTATATTAGGCTGTTGTCGAGGCGGTTGTTTGACTGTTGTTTAACATGAATTTCTAAATTCAGTTCTTCGGGTCTTATAAATTTGGTGTTTAAAATGTCCGAGCATTGGTATTTTGAAAAAGAATTGTCGAGTTTACTAATGAGGAGTTGCCACATATTAATTTTATGTATGGTTCAACAGCGCTTTCCTAATAGAGTCATACCAGATAGACGAATATTTTCAAATGCACATAGGTGGTTGACTGAAGCAGGTACTTTGAGGGCAAATAATCATTTAAAAGAGGCCCATCGGACTGTAAGAACTTTAGAAACTGAAAAAGCAGTTTTAAAATCTATTAATGAAAATCTCGAACTTAGTACTGGAAATAATCTGAATATCTCACACGTCTTGGTCTGGAAAATATTGTATGATTTTCCATTGTACCCATGATGAAGCTAACTTTTCCATGAACGCAATGAGAAATATCCACAACAACCGTATTTGGTCCGATGAAATCCTGCATGCAGTTGTAGAATTGAAACATCAAAAACACTTTCCGGTAAATGTGTTAAATACACAAGCATTTGCAAATATTGCTGCAACTACCTTATTTAATTAGGAAAAGAATGTGGTTCGTGTTAGTGTTACAGTAAGAGAATATTTAAATCACTCTTTAATAACTGATGGGTTGGTCCCTCGACCATGGCCCCCCAAGTCCCCAGGTTTTGTTTATCGCCCCTCAGTTAACACTGTAGAGGAGCTGCAGGATCGTATATCGAAAAAGCTGAAGCGTGTATTCTTCAAGGTAGAGGACACTTTCAACAACTTATCTAGTTTCTATGTTCTACTTTATTTCAAAAAGGTTATTAGATGTTTTTTTTGAACAAAAATCGTTTATTATTTATCCAGTTGTTAGGATGTTATATTATTTCATTAAAACTTTTAAAGTAAAAAGAACAGCCTTCAAGTATTTTTTTCTCAAGGACACTAGTTTATAACTAAAAATAAGAAATGTTGTTATAGATAGATATTTTTTATTTTTCACAAAAAAAGTTCTCGATTTAGCCAGGGTAGTGGCGACCTAATTAACCACAATATTATTTGTTAATAAACAGTCAGTGGCACGGCAGCAGATTTAATCTCTTAATATTTTTTTAGTCTTCACTCAAAAATGAAAAAAAAAAAGAGGTGAGAAGGGGTTTCTATTTTTTTAAGCGAAAACCGTACATCAGATTGAAGAAAAATCAACAAATTTTCAAAAATGATTGGAGATTGAAAGAATAATTTTTATTTTAGCAGAAATCAGTGGCGTACGTACCATCAATGTCTGCCAAAATAGGCCGGTGAAATTCCATACGCCTGCCACGGTGTGTAAGACTA